CCATAAAGGGAATAAAAAAAAAAGTATGGTCAAATTTTGTAATATTTATGAAATTGTCCGTCATTTTTATCTCATTTTCCCCTTAATTTTAATTTATTTATTTTATGTCCGTTATATCTACTAGATTGATGGCAAACATTTATCTACACTTCTTACAACATCTAGGTCAAATTTAAAGTGCGTGATTTTTCTTCTTAAGATGCGTGGTTTTTGTGTTGTGTGCTTAATGTGCGTCAGTTGTTGAAACTTAAGTGTGTTGGTCTAAAGCTTTAGATGCGTGGTTTTCCTTCTTAAGGTGCGTCAGTTGTTGAAACTTAAGGTGCGTCGGCCTAAAGCTTTAGGTGCATGGTTTTTCTTCTTAAGGTGCGTCGGTCTAAAGCTTTAGATATGTGAGTTTTCTTCTTAAGGTTCACAAATTTTACAATTTTTTTTTTTCGTTCAAGAGTACAATGGTGTTTTTTCAGTGTTGGTTCCCAAGTTCAAAATGATATGATCCAGCAGGTTTTGTTGTTTTCAACTATCTAATTCAGAAGGAAAAAAAAATGATAGCAATATAATACTATAACAAATAGTGGAGTTGTTATCTTTGGAGTAAACTTGAAGAAGATGCATGCATTAATTGAGGACACGCGTTTTTTATTTATTTATTGATTTGAGTTGTTTATCTAAATTTGATTAACTACTCATATCTAACCCATTTTTCACCTATGAGCATCTATGCACCATAACTCATATATATAGTGACATGAAGTGACTCTCCCAAATGAGAGGTTATGGGTTTAATCCTCATATATTCAAGAGAATATAGAATGTTGTTGACCACTTGGATTTTTGTATCCATCTCCAATCATGTTTTCTCATGCACACACATATAAAGAAACTCACAGTCCATAAATTAATTATAAACTGTAAGTGAGATATATCTATATGCACAAAACTCAAATGTTTTGTCATGAATCTTGTAGTATGTACATGTGTTTAAAAAGTAGTCCTTTTTTGTTTACGCGTGTTTAACAAGTAGTAGAAATACCATATCATATATTTGTACATGAATACTAATCAATATTTGTTGTGTTTCGCATTTACTATAGGTGTGAATTGATACCTAGATGGCGAACACAAAAACACACCGCATGAAACTATAAAGTCATCCTAAAATAAGTAAAAGTGTACTAAAGAAATGTGTAAATTCTAAAAGTGCACCACACAAAATTACAAAATACACCGTTCTTCTGTAACACTTGTATATATATAATAAGATGCAATGTTCTTAATTAATATCACTTTTAAATATCATCAAATGTATTTGATCGCGCGCGCGCACGCACGCGCACACACACACACATTTTTCTCACTATGATCAATCTCATAACCTCATGTCAATGGTTGGAAACTCATAATCTTATCAGCAATTAGAGTTAGATAGTTAGTGAGCTCTTGCATCATATATATATATATATATATGTCATCATTCATCAAAGTTTATGAAAAATGGGACAAAAATATAAAAGAAAGCATAAAAATGACTCATTATTCTCTGCTATAATCATGTTGTCCGATAGAATTTACTATAAAATTTTGAAATTTAGTGAAACCCAATTCTACTGTAGATCAACCCATGATCCGTAGCTCCGTAAAGAATACTCGATAATGGATTACGGTTGGTGAGTAGTGCATTCTAGAAAGAGCCGAAATGTCTGTTCCATTCAAGTTCCGTGTTGTGTAGAAAGAGGAAAGATTTTGTTCATTTCATAGAAATGAGAGAAGAGAAGCGCTTAGATGGTTCTTCTTCTTCTTCTTCTCCGTCGACGTCATGGTTTTCTCACTTTTGGGCGTCTGCTCGGCGGCTCAAATCTCTCGCTCCACCGTCCACCACCGATATCCCGACGGGCGATGGACTTGTTCGCCGTCTGGGCCTCATTGATCTCCTTCTACTCGGCATTGGCGCCTCCATTGGAGCCGGAATCTTCGTCGTCACCGGTACCGTCGCCCACGAAGCCGGTCCGGGTAAGTCCGCATCATACTCCGATCGTGATGCCATGTCAGTAGATGTCAATCTTACTAGAAATTGATGGACTGACTCTAACAAGTCTGAAAAATTGTAGGGTTAGATAATTGACAATTATTATACTACTACTATGTACTAGGATTCATTTTAAACCATGGTTCAAAAATTACAGTTTTTGTACCTTTAAACAAATTGAAAATACATAACATGGAAATAATATGATAATTACATACACATCAATTATTAATTGCAGAACAAGATACGCTAACATGTTTTGTGTTGTAGTTAATGTTGAAAAAATCACTAGGCGCCTAGGAGGCCTAGCGCAATTGGCGCCTAGACGCGATTTTTGCAACACTGGTTGTAGTTACATATTCTGGTTAACATGTTATGTGTATGTAATTATCATTTGTTTACATGTACAACAACTATTACAGTTGTTATGGACAGGTGGACTCTGGTCCTAAATTGTGTATTTTTAGTATTGGAATTGTGAACATCTAGAATATAAATTGTGTTTCTGAGTTTTGAGAATTTGTTAATACAATATAAGATCATCACAAATTGTGAATTTCGGGTCCACAAAATAATTTGCCAAACTATGAACTGCAGGTACAGAATATGTCAACTTAATCTTAAAGTTATTTTTGGATCAGAGTCCACAATGCATGGTAGACCTTGATAGGGCTAGCCTAAACCGAATTGGCTGGCCCGATTGACATTCCGTGCCCCGCTTTTGTTAAGTTTCTAATGTTGAAGCTTAAGCACAAAGAATTGATCTTTCTGGGTTTTTATTGCAGGGGTCACAATCAGTTTCGTAATTGCAGGATTATCTTGTGTTCTTAATGCACTCTGTTATGCCGAGCTAGCCTCGCGTTTTCCTGCAGTTGTTGGCGGGGCTTATTTATATACCTACACGGCTTTCAGTGAGCTTATGGCATTTCTGGTTTTTACACAGTTGATGCTTGATTATCATATTGGTGCAGCTAGCATAGCGCGCAGCTTAGCAAGCTATACAATTAATGCACTAGAGCTCATTCCTTTCCTTAAGGATAGCATTCCAAGCTGGGTTGGACATGGCAGCCAAGTGTATCTTGGAGTGTTTTCTTTTAACCTATTAGCTCCACTTCTGCTCGTAATCTTGACAATGGTGTTATGTTGGGGTGTTGGAGAATCCTCCGTATTCAATGCAGTGGTGACTGTGACAAAGGTGACCCTGTCATCCTAAAGTTTTTCGTCTATCTTCATTTGAAAAGAAAGATGATAGGAAGATGAGTTATGATTGTTTTTTTTGGTTTGTTTCTTTTGAGTGAGCGAGAAAAACCCGCAGCCACTATTCGAAAGTGTGCATTGGGTAAACCTAAACCATGCCTTGCGACCCTAACCAGCAAGGGACCACAAGAGGTAAACCAGCCTAGGTTGCTCATAGCTGATGGGCTCAAACCAAGAAGCTAAGGCCAATAGGTCATTCTCGCTGGGCGTCGAATTTGTAACCTTGTGGTTAGCAAGTCAACATTCTGACCAACTTGATTGCCTGATTGGGGTTGCCCCCGTGTTATCTGATTGTTGATCACTCATGCAACTGTATTGTGAATTGGAACTTATTTGTTTTGTATTATGTGGCTTTCATTATGTCGCTCCTTTGCTCATAAAGATTTCTTATGCCACTTCAAGATTGAACTTAAAGGTTGCTGCAACTTAACATTGAATGTGCTAGTGTGCTACATAGCCTACATATGCTTGTATCATTGAACTACAAAGTCTGGCTTCAGTAACAAGAGCTGTGTCTGTCTTCCTTTGTAACTGACAAAGAACGGGTTTTTTGCAGGTAATCATTGTTTTTTTTGTGATCATTGTTGGAGCTTTTAAGGTTGATGCTTCAAATTGGACCCCTTTTGCTCCACATGGTTTCAAAGGCATATTGACTGGGGCCACTGTGGTATTCTTTGCTTATGTTGGATTTGATGCAGTCGCTAATTCTGCTGAAGAATCTAAGAGACCACAGGTAAGATATTTGCTGATGAATCTGATTCAAATGACATAATCTTAATATGCTACTTTGTCACGTATGCTCATTCAAATTCTATACTAAAACATGGTGTTTAGAGAGACTTACCATTAGGCATAGTGGGGAGCCTGCTTGTCTGTATTGCACTATACATTGGTGTCTGCTTAGTGATTACTGGAATGGTTCCGTACAAACTCCTTGGCGAGGAGGCTCCTTTAGCTCATGCTTTCAAGGCCCACAGGTTGACATATGTGTCAGTGTTAATCAGCGTTGGTGCTATTGCTGGACTCACAACTACACTTCTGGTCGGGCTTTATGTTCAGGTAAGACGCGTTTCCTTCCTTTCATCTGGTTTACTTCAAATAGATATGGCGAGAAGTAAGTAACTTGAGTTTTCTGGTGAGCAGTCGCGACTATATCTTGGGCTTGGAAGGGACGGTTTATTGCCTTCACTATTTGCTAAAGTACATCGCACTTGACATACTCCTGTTTACTCTCAAGTTTGGGTTGGGATTGTTGCCATCATCTTGGCCGGCCTGTTTAATGTGCATGTACTCTCACACATTCTTTCAGTGGGCAGCTTGGTACGTTTTCTTTGTTTACTTCCCAAGTTTCTTTAAGGGTTAACCCCCGAGTATAGTGGTTTTGCCATGTTTAGTCCTAAACTTTCAAATTGACCATCTGTGGTTATTCGACTTTCAAATTTAACCATTCGTGGTCCAAGTTAACCACCCATGGTCCTTCAACTAGTAAATTTTAACCAACCATGGTCCTTTCACTGGTTAAATTTCGAAACTTGAAGGACCATGGGTGGTTAACTTGGACCACGAGTGGTTAAATTTGAAAGTCGAATGACCACAGATGGTCAATTTGAAAATTTAGGACTAAACGTGGCAAAACCACTATACTCGGAGGACCTTAGATGGTATTAACTCTTTAAACCAACCAAAGCAAGTCATTAGTGTGGGGGATTGGTCTGTTGCAGACAGGCTACTCTGTCGTTTCAGCTTGTGCAGTAACCCTACGATGGAAGGACAAGAATGTGAACGAGGTCTCTACGGGGTTTATCTCAGGCAGGAGTGAAGGCATCATTTGCCTTATCTTAGTCGCCTGTTGTGGATTTGCTGCTGGAGCCCTTTACCGTTTTGGAGCTTCTTTTGGTTTCGTCATTTTATCTGCAGTTATTGCGATATTTGCTGCTGCTGCTCTCCATTTCCGACAAGTAAACTCAATCAACTTATTCACTGCTCCAGAGACACCATAGATAGATACTCAAGTTTTTGTTTTCTTACTGTCGTTCTTCTCATCCTTTCCCTATTTCTTCCCTTTGGCGATCATATATTGCTCGTCGTATTGAATATATACCATTTCTTCAGCACAGCAGATTGCGTTTTTGCAGGTTTATGATGATCCACCGGGATTTTCTTGCCCCGGGGTTCCAATTCTACCTGCTGTCTGCATCTTCTTGAATATTTTTCTTTTTGCCCAGGTTTTGCTTGTGAAGATTTACATAGTATCACAGAGAATATATAGTGAAAGCCAAGCTCTCATCCATATATCTTCTTCTTTTTTTTTTTTTTTTTTTTTTTTTTTTTTTGCAGTTGCATTATGAGGCATGGGTGAGATTTGTTGTTCTCAGCATTGTTGCTGTTGGTATTTATGCACTATATGGGCAGCATCATGCCAGTCCTGATGGTTCAGGTATATCCCTTATTTACCAAAGGGAATCTGCAGAAGCTTAGACTTAAGCCTCTTGTCACTCTGATGATAGTGATAGTGATACAGATGTAAATGCAACATTTCTCTATATATAAGTTTGAAACCCGAACAATATAATGGTCTCTATTTAATAGTGTACATTATTATTTGTGGTTAGTGAGTTTAACTAGTTAATAATAACATTAGCTGATTGTAAAAAAGTGTTTGGTAAATTAACTGTTAGCTAATAGCTGATTTCATGCAAAATGACTCAACAAACTGATCGACAAAACTGTTTGAGGAAGAAAGAATGGCAATACTAACAAAACTATGATACATATAAGAAAAAGAATATCACACATGGAGTAAGGGGGATGGGGAGAAAAAAAATATGATTTCATTTTATAGCACAACTCATCTTAACACAAATTAAAAGCCCCTACCACTTTTTTCTCTTTCAAAGACAAGACTCAAAGCACAGTTTTTGCACTTGGAGAAAGCGTTCCAGAATCGAAATGCTTTCACACATCTGCTACTCATACAAAAACGCGAAAAAAGAAAACCCATTATTGCAACTCACCTCTCCTAAGGCTTCCCGCAAATAGAAGCCAAGGACATTCCCTAAGTTCCCTAGCCAGTAGAGTGCATCTCAATAAACATGGATCTCTAACTGGTTCTGTGTCACCGACCCTTCGAGCTTCTTCCCCGACGTTTTCTGCCCCGGATTACATCTAAGCCATAGGCACGAAAGCCTTGCAATGGCTGCCTGGCCGGCAAACTGGACTCTGCAAGCTAGGTTCAACTCAGCCAACACGTTGTTGCCCCCTAAATCACACTCGAGATTTTCATCGTATCCATCAAGGTCAGACTCGGTGACTAGGACAAGGGAGTCGTCATCAAAAGCAGCCAGGTCCCCATTAGAAGGGCGGATTAAGGCCTTCTCTAATAAAGTATCGGCACTACTTTCAGTTTTCCTTACTCTGTAATAGTACTCTTGAACAGCCTATAATTCATCCAAAAAAAAAAAAAAAAAAAAAGGTTTCCAATTTACAGCAAAGACAACTAGCCATTTGATGGAACGTGAAATAATTTATGAACTTGAAGCACGGAAAAATCGTTAAGGATACCTGCCACTGGGATGAGGCGAGTGAAACTCTTGGCCTAATGGACCTCACATAGTCATATGCGGCCTCTGGTGTCATCTGCTTGTGTTTGACCTGTTTAGAGAAGCAAATATAAGGAAAAGAGAAAACTTAAGATGCATATTAGCGGGAAACCAGCTTGGTTGGCGTGAGTGGCCGTGCACTCTCGTCCCTTAAGAGAGGTCGGGAGTTCGAACCCCCTCTCGTATGAAAAAATCAATCTGGCCAGCACTTTGCTCCTTAATTGGACCGGCCCGGTGCGAACAGGGATTAGTCTGAGTATGGTACGGGCTTAAAAGTGCCTCCTACAGTTAGGGACTGCTCAGAACACCTCGTGGTCTGACCAAAAAAGATACATATTAGCGGGAAATTGATGAAGGCTTTGAGCTGACACGCTTACCAGGTAACAGAGGACGACGGTTGTGCTGCGACCACGGCCAGCTTTACAGTGAACATAAGTTGTTTTGCCACAAGATGCGTTTCCTTCACAAATAAGATAAAATAGCAAAGAAATTCCGATTAAATTATTAAAACTTGCACAAAAAAAACATGGTCAATTTTCCAAACATATTTTGCTCACAATTTCACTGCCGAGATTCTAGATATAAGGTTCGGGGAAAGAAAAAACGGAATAAAAATTCTTACCCTGGATGAAGTCCACAGCTTGACTGATATCAAGAAAGGATGGTGCAAAAAGATAGTCCCGGGTAGGAATTACCAAGTGATTGATGCCATGATCCTACAAAACGACAATGTCTCGCTTTATTTAGAAACAATAATAGGATATCGTGAAACAAAATTGCATTCTTGGTTGGCCTCATCGAAGTCAAATGTTTCGGTGAGATAACAGCGTGACAAATAATTAGGCTTAACTTACACGGTATAATGATGTTGGCACCAAAGTCTCGTATGGCTCATTCAAAGTCACGACACCAAAGACACCGAGAGCCTTCAAGTGAGGGACATCAGCAGGAAATGGTACAGCTCCTAAAAGGATAAACTGGCAATGAAAGGAGCGGAGTTATCATCATTAAATATCGTCAATATGCACTTCCCAAGGAAAGATATAGAGACAGAGATAAGGGGAAAAAAACCATAAAAATTATGTGAAACACTCGGGATTAAGAATGAACACCAATTGAAAACCATTGTAATTGTGTGCATAAAGGAGATGGCTTTAGCGATAAGGGAGGGGGTCACAACAATTTATGACGAACGATTAGAAACAAGTAAATACGGCGGGTTATGAAGGCAATCGAATATGAGCAATCAGTAAGGTTTACATACACTCCTAGTATATCTATACCTCATCAACCCGATCCCACCACCGGAACTCAGCCTGAACCTTGTTCCTCAGAACATTATACAGTAAAGTTGGATAAAAGAGAGCTCGAGCCCCGGCTCCAACCAACACCCTTTTCACATCTGAACATGGCTCCTCCTCCTCACTCCCTGTTTCCCCCTCCTTCAGTTCCTCAATATACATAATTTCTACCCCTAACAAAGTTCAGAAACAGTCACAATTCACCTACAAGCTCAAATTGAATCGATTAATGAACTGCAATTCCAATAAACTAATGAATTAAAATCCCAAAACTGCAAAATTAAATCCACAAACAAGCATTCAAATCAAACCCTAACCCTAACCCTAACCCTAACCCAAATGAACTTTGCAAATAACAATCTTCACAATCCAGCTACTTCTTCAAACGAATTCGACCCAGAACAACACCTTCTCCGATTCCTACAGCAAAACAAAAAAAACCCAAACTTTTATTTCACTTCAAGAACAAGAATGCAGGTTTTCTTGATCACGTTTCGCAATCTAAACCCCCACATGGGAGAGGGGAACTGGGGAAGTTGATGAAAGGAAGCAAATTTAGAAAGCCCGGAATTCAATGAATTGTGATGAGAGAGGGAAGCGGTACGGGACAAGAAAATCAACGACGAAAAAAAAAAGAGGTTTTTGTCTATGTAATACAGCGGTTTAGAAAGGAACGAGGCTATTCTGGGGTTGTCGGGCAATTCTTGAAGTGTATTGGAGGGGAGTTGGTGTCAATAAACCCATTCCTCTCCCTCTCTCTCTCTAGAATTTGGAACGGTTCTCTCTCTACCTTTCCTTTTCCCTCAACAAACTTGTCTATTTAGATTTATTTATTTTTTATGTAATCTTTTACAAACTAAAATCATCATGGGAAATTTACTCAAGAACTTTCAAACACATAACAGGGCGTTTGGTTGGAGGGGGGAATTATGTGGGAAACGAATTGTAATTTCATGGGAGTTGAATTACTGGGAATAAAGTGGTAATTTAAATTTCAGTGTTTGATTGACAGGAATAGAATTACTGGGAATTTCAATTCCAATGTTTGGTATACATGGGAATTGAAAGGGAATAAGTAGTATAAAGTCAAAAATGTCCATTATTGTTGTTAGACATTAATTTTAGGTTAAAAAATGAAGGGGTAATTTTGACTCATCACTATCTTTTTTTCCCAGGAATTAAAATACCAGGGGGGGACATGGGATTTTAATTCCATGAAAATGGGGGAATTGCAATTCCCTCCAACCAAACTACAGAATTTAATGGCCTTTGGAATTAGGTGGGAATTAAGTGGGAAGGGAATTTAAAATCCCTCCAACCAAACGCCCTATAAGTTGAAGTTGTTGAATACAAAAGTACAAAACTATGAAAAATATAAATCTATTATACCCGAAAAACATGTATTCTCAAGTACTCGGATAGTGATTACCAATATGAAACAGAATAATTAGAACTTCACGTGATTGACATACTAGTACACCACAAACCGCCCACATATTAATGTGGCAGTATACAACCAACAGACAACTAGGTTATATTCAATCTGTACGTGGTTGACGTATCACTAGCTCGGTTGCATCCAATCTTCACGTGGTTGACATGCCACCAGTTAGTTTACCATCAGTCTTCACGTTGTTGACATGCCATCTACCAGTTTACATTCGATCTTCGTGTGGTTGACATGCCTTGTAAGGGAATCTCTTTCTATGTCTGACTTTCTGGAGTGGTTTGATAACCCACTCCTTTTATTTGTAACGCTCTTATGGTTGATGATCTTTAATGAATTACTTTATTTCTTTAAAAAAAAAAAAAAAAAAAAAAAGGGAGAGAATTATAAATTTGATGATGTGGAAGTAAGCCACTTTTGAAAGTAATAAAGTATTGTAAGGATAAGGAAAGCAAAGACAAGAAGTAACACATTTTGTACTTCATCAAGTTCAAATCTTTCTTCACCCATAGAATTATATTGCAGGAGTTGAGGATCCAAACTCACAGTCAAGGCAAATTATTGTATGGACCTTGGTCCATACAATGTTACGTGGACCATAATAAAAAGTAGATTTTTAATATACTAAATGAGTAAATGTATATTATTTTTGTATTGAATGTACATTATACAATATAATGTAAATTCAATACAAAAATAATATACATCCCCTGAATATAATGTACATTATTTTTATATTGAATGTACATTATTTTTGTATTAAATATACATTATTGTACAGTATACAAAATATGATTCACACAACTTGCAATCGTTATGCTGTGCATCCGGTTGCACCGTACTTGGTGCATCCGGATCCACACGACGTCGTTTAGGGAGTAACGGTGCCGTTAGTGGCACCGTTTCACTCCACCAATCAGATATATTTTTTTTTTTTTAAATAAAACAATGCTCCTTCGTTTCTTCTCCACTGCATTTCACTTCCCGCACTCCATTCCTTCTCCAACACGATACCCTCCGTAAACGCTTCAATCATCTCCATTTCCTTACCATTTCTTTAGCATTTTCTAGCTTTCAAACACACTCGTCGTCGCTATTGTCGCCGGCGTCCGATCATCGCGAATTCAACAGCGCTTTCTCTGTAAACCAGAGCTCATCATCATCCTATAACAGGTATAAATGCATTTTACGTTGATACATAATGCATTTACACAAAACAAGCATTCATTTTGAGTATATATTTATGAAATTTTAAACTAGGGTTTTATACTGTTTAATCTTGTATGAATGTATAGTTATTTGATTATTAACGTGCATGGTTATGATTATGGGTTTATGAGTATATTTATAAGTTTATGGAACTGTAGTTTTACAATTTTGGAAGTATAGTTGTACATTTATGGAATTGTAGACATACAGTTTTGGGTGTAGTACTCTGTTAACCTTACTCTGTGCACCAAACTGCATTCATGCCTTCTTAACATAATTTGCTTTGTGCGTATACTTATGGAATTGTAGTTTTACAATTTTGGAAATATAGTTGTGCGTTTATGGAATTGTAGTTATAGAGTTTTGGATGTAGTACTCTGTGAACCTTACTCTGTGCACCAAACTGCATCAATGCCTTTTTAGCATAATTTGCCTTGTAGGTATGCTTATGGAATTGTAATTGTACAATTTTGGAAGTATAATTGTGCGTTTATGGAATTATAGTTATACAGTTTTGGATGTATTACTCTGTGAACCTTACTCTGTGCACCAAATTGCATTCAAATCCTTTTTAGCATAACTTGCCTTGTGGTATACTTATGAGATTATGGAATTGTAGTTTTACAATTCTGGAAGTATAGTTGTGTGTTTATGGAATTGTAGTTATGAAGTTTTGGATATAGTACTCTGTTAACCTCACTTGATGTTTTTTATTTGCAGAAATGGATCAGTCAGGTGTGGCAGATGATTCTACACTTGGTCAATTTGTGAAGTCTGTAAAAAAGAGAACAACCAGAGCAGTATTGAGCTCACAAGCTGCTGAACTCACCCCTGCCCAGGAAGATCAAGCAGAGCCTTCGACAAGGCAACAACCAGCAGCTGTAAAAAGAAAGAGGGCACCACCACAAAAGCGAGAGAGAGTACGGGACCCTGATGTGAACTACTTCAGTACACGAATGGGTCCCAAGCAAATGTATGACCTTGTCCAGCGTCTAACACATAACCAAAAGGATGCTGTGATTGATATGGGTTTTGGAGGGCTGCTGCACCTACAATTTTCAAGCAATTACTCACAACTTGTTGAGTATCTCTTGCAAAGGTTTGATGTTTTCAAATCAGACTTCATATTGGATGGTGACCATCTACATGTCGGTGAAGAGGATGTTGAATACATCTTGGGACTCCCCCGGGGGAAGAGAGATGTTGAGGAAGGTACAAAGAGTGAGGAAAATTCTACAGCTGCATATAATAAGGTCCTGACTGAGTGGAGGAAAAGATGGAATGTCAGGTCAGGGTCACCCATAACAACAAAGATGCCTGATGAAATAATCAGGAGAGGTGACCATGGAGATGCCTTCAAGAGAGACTTTGTGGTGTTTGCTGTCTCATCTCTGCTCCGGGGAAATACTGGAAGATATGCCAACTATCGAGTTATCAAGTCATTGCTCAACATCCGGTCAATCTCAAGACTTAATTGGTGCAAGTACACGTACAATTCTTTAATTGATTCGTATGACATTTACAAAGACTCTCCTACCAGATCCTTTGGAGGTCCAATGGTATTCATCCTGGTAATATCCCATTATACATAAAATGTTCTAATTATGTAATTATATTCATGCAATTATGGAATCATAGATATGCAATTCTGTATGTGTGGTTATGCCCTTATGGATGTGTAGTTTTGTAATTGTGGAATTGTGGTTTTCCAATTATGGAATAATAGTTTTACAATTATGGAATTATAGTTAATCAATTATAGATGTGTAGTTTATGGATTATGGAATTATAGTCATCCAATTATGGAATTATAGTTATGCAATTATGGAATTATAGATATGCAATTCTGGATATCTAGTTTTATAATTATGGAATTATAGTTATGCAATTATGGAATTATAGATATGCAATTCTGAATATGTAGTTATTCAATTCCTTAACATACTCTTCTGTACTTCTTGAAGCTCTTCTACTTTGACCGAGTACAGTTCAGAGGCATGACCGTCAACCGCACATTCCCAGCAATAAAAGCTTGGACAAAAAGCCTTGTACGCAAGCGAGTATCGGCTGAGATAAAATCAGGGGGTTTTGGTAAGGGCAAAGTTATCCCTCGATTTCAGAGACCTACTGCCATTGCATCTACATCATCACCCCGACCTGCACCTCCTCCTGCTGCAATACCAAGGCCAGTGTCCAGCCCTGCTGCTACACCAACTATTCCAGCTCCATCTGTGCCTCTGACAAATGTTGACCGAGTAACAAATGTGCTTCAACGGCTTACAGCAGGTGTCCTTGAGTTCGGTCAGGTCATGTCTGACATTGGCAAGCAAGGGGCCCCGGTTGAAATCATGAAGAGGGCTTTTTCAGGAATATCAACAATGCTGAGTGCTGCAAGCACAATTCAACCGACTCCTAGCCCAACTGCCTCGCAATTGGATGACATCTTCTTCGGAAGTGAGAGCTTCACATCAGCAATTGATTCTCTGGTAGCAGCTTTTGAAAAAACAAGAAAGGAAATGGAAATAGAAGTCCCATCATTTGAGCTACTTGGACGCTCTACACCAACCCCACCACCATCTCAACAGCAGCCTTTGGACACCTTGGTGGATAACATTGTGAGGAGTGCAGGAGTATCAACCTCAACAGAGAAGGAAGCAACTCCATTACTAATCAGAGTGCCATTCGAAAAGTCCACCACTCCTACTACCCCTGCTGCCCAAACTGCTGCTGAGATTGATGAATTTGATAAGTAGGTTACTGCTTTCTTATGCAGATTTAGACTATAAATATGGTTTTCAATTCATCAATAATTATGAATATTAAGTTTGATTAATATGAATATATTCTTATTCAACTAGTGACGTTGATTTCTTTACAATTATGGATATGTATTTCTCAAATTATGGACATATAGTTTATAGATTATAGAAATGTAGTTATACAATTCTGGAATTATACTTGTGGGGTTATGAACTGCCTCTGTTTTTTTCTGGACAACAGGGCTATGGATGAAAGTGAATCTGATGTTGAGGATGTTACTGTGAGAAAGAGACCTGTGCGCAAATTCAGGAACATCCCGCTTCATTTGAGGTCACCATATTGGAATAAGAACAA